TGTGGGCAATGTCCGTGTGACACTACCTTACCTACCTTGTGTGAAGAAGAAGAAGTACATGATTGCTTTCAGCTAAACGACGGTGTGTGATGTTGAGACACAAGCAATCAAAGCGCTCCTTCAAACACTGTTACCGAGCTGGGTCCTTGTCAGACTTCTCAAGTTCCCTGTCACCAGTAGGATTTTGCTCCACGTTGTTCCGTTCGGTTCTGCTCTGGCTCTGTTGGCTCGCCACGTCTCGTACTTCTCTGAGTCCTTGTCTTTCGGTTCTGGTTTGTCTTTTGGACTGAAGACATAGTCGGTGAGGTTGGCGCAGTCCAGGGCGACCCAGAGAGCTGACTCCCAGTCACCCAGATTCTTTTCGCCTTTCAGTTGTATGAGGGTTGCCGTGTCGGCTAGGTTGTTGTTGGTTGTCATGGTTACGAGAGTAAACGACGGGGTTTTTGTTGTGGGATTGATTGTGACTGTTGTCTTGATAGATAATCCTTATGAGGTGTCGGTAGATCGTCGACTTGGGGAGTCAGGAAACTCGTCTGACTTGGAGGGGTTGTCAGGGCGAGAATCGCATCGCTGACTTGGAGGGGTTGTCAGGGCGAGAATCGCGTCGCTGACTTGTTGGGGGGAGGTCGCGTCGATTAGCGTTGCGACAGAGGGCTCATGACCTGTGAGATGGATCACAACATGATGGGAATGATGTAGATTGAGGGATCCAGCTAACTGAGGCTGGAAGGGATCGCCAGCTATATAGAGCTGGCGATACAAAGAGGAGGAAGGTCTGCAAAGAAGGGGATTCTGGGAAGTGCCAGAACCGCTGTCAAACAGGGTGCCTGCAGGGCAAAGGACTAGCGGTCTGTGCAGCAAACGCCCAGAATCTTCTCACATATCTTTCATGACCAGCCTTAGACCCAGATAACTCGCCAGAGCCAAATCAGTCCAATTTTGCCAAGTGATCAAACTTGGTTCGAAGTAGCTAGGCGCCCAAACCATCGCCTTCCCAACCACATTACAGAGCGCGCGCGCATCCTTCCGTGATCGGTCTGCAAGGACATCTACCTGCGAGATGTGGTGCGAAGGCCAGTGGACAGCTGCGTACGGGAGGAATGAGCGTTCTTGATTACCGGGAGAGTTCTGAACTGGTGTTGCGAGATCTGGCAGCATTAAATAGTGAAGGCAGACCAGTGACGTCGCTCTTCAGTCCTCGATAGAACTGATACTTGAGGCCTTCGTCATTCCAATCGACGCGGAAGGCGAGTTGTCTGAACTCAGCTGCGTAAGATGCGGCTGACTTGGTCTGGCGAAGTTCGTTCAGCTTAGTTTCGGCCTGGCGAACCTTGTCGGCGAGGCCAAAGACTTGGTTGATGGAGCTTTCGAAATACTCAAAGTCGGTGAATATCTTCTGAGTCTCAGGGTGCATCTCGCTCCAAACGTTGTGGGCGAGGTAGTCCGCTTGAGTGGGTTGAAACCACTCGAGAGCCTTGCCGGTAAGGTACGATGCTGCATACAAGACTTGTTGGACAGGGTCCACGGTGCGGGAGAAACTGAGGTTGGCGCGGATTTGGGTAAGGAAGCCCTGGAGGTCTTCCTTCTTGGTGCCGTCGAACTTGGGCGGAGCGTTGAGTTTGATGGTGCTCTTTACGGTGGAAGAGGCGGGAGTTGACTGAGCGGTCTCAAGGTCGTTGATCTTGTTGCGAAGCATATTGATGATGTTGCGCAACTCGACGTCGTCAGTGTCTTTGGTGATGGCAGGGGCGAGGGTAGCCCTGCGGGTACGAGCTTCTTCTCTGGCAAGAAGCTCGGCGGCCTTGACTTCCTTGCCGTCGTCATCCACAATGCCGGTCATGGCATCAGTGCCGGGGCCAGGAACTCTGGCCGCGGTGCCCGGGAGTCCAGCTCCAGCGGGTCCTCCAGCAAGATTACCAGTCGGGATTCCGGACATGATAACGGTGGGAGAGTCAAGGTGGGGGTTGAGGAAAACTTGATTTGAGGAAACTTCGGGTGCAGCAGCAGACCCCAGAATACTAGTGTGCAAATTGATGAGCAAGCAACGTGTGACGAACCGTTACAAGCACAGGATTATATCGCTGGGATCAGAACAACGGTAAGAAGAGCCAAAAGGTATTGATAAGATATGATAGCTATTGCTTGCTGAAGAGCCCAGTATTCAGGAAGCCTGGGGAGGCCTTCCTTTATACTGGTCCTTCAGTATGGCGCGGCTCTGATTGGTCTATCTAACTGCTTGCATAAGTGATCCCTGAGTGGATCGTAACACATCCAAGCTTTTGAGGTTCCGGTGGGAAAACCGCTTGGTGATGGATCAGAGTGGAAACAGGTTGTGCTGAGGTGAGAGATGGAAGGTGATATGTGTCTGAGAAGAGATCAGTTCACATGCGTCTTCCGTCCCGACTTTGTTCCAGACAAGCCATCGAGGGACTAACAACCACCGGCACCCGCAAGCCTCATCTAGAGGTATCGATTTCTTTTTCCACATATTCCCAAGTCCGGCAAATCTCACAAATGAACTCTTCTCACACCTCGCGACATCCATCGCTCGTCACACCTTGCTGGACGGTCATATTGTTGATCATCAACGACACCAAATCTCTTGGGCTCATATATTTCTTGATCCTGCTACCACATATCTTCTAGCCATGTAAGATGCCCTTCTTCACCTTAGTTTTCTGCCGCTTGGCCCAACCTAGATTAACTCCCCTATCATTTCCACCTACAGGCATTGATGATATTCTGGACCTTCCTGTCATTCTCGGTAAAGACCTTGCCGAGCTTTGTAACGGCAGAGTCAGGCATGGCCTTGCGTGCTTTGCCAGCAGCCGCCAAGTCCTTCTCGGACCTCGTACCTCCTGCGAAGCCCATCAGCATGCCCATGATGGCAAAGGGCGCCGACTGCGGGTCCTCGACAATGTCATAGGCAGTCATCCCGACGTTGCCCGCAATGTCGATCAGGGTGATGATGCGTGCGACCATGGCCATGCCGCCAATCAGGGCTCCGCCAATCTCGCCAATGATGGGAAGCACCATCAGCACGATGCTCAGGATGAAGGTGATGAGCTTCTTCTTGTTTTGCTTGATGATGTCGGCTCCCGTCTTCTTGATGCTGTTCATGGCGTCGACCGCTTGCTGTAGCATGAAAACGGGCATACTGGCCGCCGTGACAATGTCGGCGCTGTCGACTTCGTTGAGCGACGTAGA